CTCTCTCTCTCTCTCTCTCTCTCTCTCTCTCTCTCTCTCCTCTCTCACTCTCTCTTTAAAAAAAAAATAGTATTTTCTGGCAGGCCACCATATAACTTTTGGTATACCCATAGTGCTAAGCCTTGGGGTACATGATGATAAACTCCACTCCTTTCCTAAGGTCAGCAGCTCATTTGGAAGATGCAGGTGGAACAGAGCTGCAGTCAGGCTCAGCCTTGGTAGCTCTGAATAGAATTGGTGAATGTCATGCACAGACTGGCAGCAAGAGTGGCCCGGACTTTGGTGTAATTTCACTCTGTTTGAAAATTCACTGGCAAGGGCTGGGGATATAGCTCAGTTAGAGGAGTGCTTTCCTCACATGCACAAGGCCCTGGGTTCAATCCCCAGCAACCCCATCCCCGACAAAAAAAAAAAAAAGAAGAAGAAGAAGAAGAAGAAATACGAAAGAAAGAAAATTAGCTGTCAAAACTTGTGATGTAGGGTGGGGCACACTGGTGCACACTCATCATCTCATCTCAGTGACTTGGGAGATGGCAAGTTTGAGGCCAGGCTCAGCAACTTAGTGAGAGTCTGTCTCAGAATAAAACATAAGAAGCTGGGGGTATGGCTCAGTGGTTAAGCACCCCTAGGTTCAATTCCTAGTACCCAAAATAAGTAAGTAAGCTGTATCAGCATACATGTGTGAGAGGAGGGCCTGGAACACACCAGCCAGCAGGGCAGTGGCCTGACAGTGCAAGGCACAGGCCTTTGGGACAGGGCAAAGGTTTTGGGCTAGTGTGTTCCATGAGAAGTGGTAGGACAAACAGCCCATGTTCAGTTCACAGGATGCAGGTTGTGTGAGAAGCAGGGAGTTCCCAATGGGTGGTTTTAAGTGACTCAGTTGGAGTGTCAGCTTCTGACTAGCCTGTGCATAGTTTCTTGCTGTGGAAGCTTTGAAATCTTCTTTGTTGTGATTGTTACAGCAAATGAAGGCCCACAGTCCCCGTTCCATCACATCCTGCCCAAGTGCAAGCTGGCAAGGGACCTCAAGGAGGCATATGACAGGTAGGCAGGTGGGCATGCTCTCTGGCTCTCCAGGAGCCTGGGGCTATCCGCATCTGGGTCCCTGATGCTGGACACTGTTCTGGTGTTTGGATGCTGGCGCTCCACTGAGATGGGGCAAGAGCACGAAGACTGTGGCTACTCTTATGAGAAGTGACCTTGGTAGCCATTTTCAAATGATAGCCCCTTTGCTAGGTAGCATGCGCCTAGTTGGAGCATTCACCTCTGGGCTCTCCTTAACACAGAAAACCAGCCAGAAGCTGTGTGTGAGAGCCTGGAGGTGCTCTTGCTGAGGGGGACAGTGGAATTCTGGTCCCACCTTGGTTGGTGGGTTCCACTTTTTTTCACCCATGAAGAAACTGGCTCAGTGGACAGAGCTGGGTGGGGCTGGCTGTGCTATTTCCTGCTCTGGGAGTGTCTGAGGGCAGCAAACACTGGGGGGCATCAGGGAAACCCTGCACCATCTGATTACATTGGTGGTTGAGCACCAGCTCTATTAAATGTGGACCAGCATGACATCCATTTCTTCTGCAAGGTCTTCTGTCTGACCACTGCTCCTGTGGCCCCGAGATGTTCCCTGGCTCTGAAGCTGCAGCGAGAGGTGTATACCCAGCTACCATCCCTCCTAGAGCTTTGCCTTCCTGCTCCTGCACCTGCAGCACCCATTCACATGCTGCCTTGTCACTGCAGGGCCCACACAGTGCCAGCACAGTGCCCGGCAGATGCTGCCTGGCACACCTTTCTGCGCAGCACGGGTGGGTCTGGTGCCTCTGCCTGCCCTGCAATTGTGGCCTCCTCCTGTCTCCTCCTCGTGGTGAGCAGCTATGGTTGATGTAGGGCCCTGCGTTTCCTCCCTACCTCCCTCCCTCCCTTCCTTCCTTCCTTTCTTCCTTCCTCTTAACCACTTAGAAGGGGCACTTAACCACTGGGCCACATCCCCAGCCCTTTTTTTTTTTTTTTGTATTTTATTTAGAGACAGGGTCTCACTGAGTTGCTTAGGGCCTCACTAGTTTGCTGAGGCTGGCAATCCTCCTGCCTCAGCCTTCTGAGTTGCTAGAATTACAGGTGTGCACCACCACACCCGGCTCCCTGTATGCTTTACATGGCTGCTATGACACGTGCTGCTCAGTCATCTGTGGATGTCATTTTGTGCTTGTGCCTCATTGTCCCTGAGGTGGATCCTGGAAAGCATCACACATGGTTGATGTGTGCTTGATTTGCACTTGCACCAGCGGCAGCGTGCCAGGCGCCTCTTTCTGGATTTGCCAGGGAGCTTGGTAAATTTTTCAGTTTAAATTATGGAGAGGTGGTGAGTCTTCTTGCATGTTTGAGTTGTCTCATTTTCATTTCTCTGAGTGCTGTTTGGATCCCTCACCTGGTTGGTAAATGCAGGTTTCTTCAAGGGGGAAGCAATTGTGCTCTCTATGACCTGTTGGACTTGCACTTATGTCACCTGGTAACCTCTGGGTGAGGGCCTCCCTGTGTCAGAGGACTTCAAAGCATCTGCAAGCAGCCATGCCACATTCTGACTAGAGCAAGACCTTTGAGGTTGCACAGGTGTTTTCTTTGTGGCAAGAGAATGGCTGCCCTCTGGTCTTGAGTTGGTTGAGCTGGAGATCCCTTCCTTGGAAGTTGGTGGCTTGTTCTGAGTGGGAATCTGAAACACTTCCAGCTTGAGACTGAAGCACAGGAAAACCTGTGGCTTTCTGTTTCTAGAGAAAGAAGGGAAGTGGTTTCTTAGGTTTGGAGTGGGGATATTGGAACTTGTCCACCAACTGCTTGTGTGACTGTAGTGCCACAGCTCAGAGCGTCAGGTGGCCTGGGCCACCTGGGGGGCACAGTTTTGAGGAGCACACACACATTCAAGGTTCAGGTGAGAATGCTCAGCCCTGGTGTTCTTCCCTTGACCAGGCACCCTGTGTACTGGGAGTTCTGGCCCTGAGTCCTGCCCCAGAGATGCTGGGAGCTGCACTATGCTTACGGGAGAAGTTCCCACCCCCACTTGGTGCCTGCATAGCTCTGGAACTGCCTGAGCATCCTCTGGCCTGTTGTCCATCCTCATCTTACCTGGTCCATGGTGGGTCTTGAGACCATGCCCATAGGAGAGGCTGCATATAGAATCAACCAGGTAGCTGAGAACACAACACAGCTCCTTTCTTCTGACAGTGGCCTTCTACCAGATCCCTGGGGAATTTCTCAGAGCAGAATTTAAAGACAAGAAGCTGTGAGGCTTAATGAGACTGTGGATCTGACTGGGGCATTTCAGAGAGACTAGTCCCGAGTCTATGTCTTCATCCAGAGCTAGGGTTGTGCTATAACTGGGTAGCCTGGTCATCTTGGTCATCTCTGGGACCTGCTATGCCTGTGAATCTAGGCTGGGAGTGTGGCTCCCTCAGGAGGCCACCCTGACTGTTCTAGCACATGCTTCCCTGGGGAGTGCTATGACCTCAGTGAGAGCGTCTGCTTTGTTCATGTGACCACTGGATTGTGTCCCCCAGGAGGGCAGGGACATCCCTTCAGTAGCAGTTCTAGTGCTCAGCATGTGGAGGAACACTGCTCTTCCACTGTTGGTGGAAGGAACCTAGAACAGCAGGAGGGACAGTGATGTGGAAGTATCCTATGGAGTTCTCTCAGACACAAGGGCCTGAGGTGGACCTGGGAGGGCAGAGCCTGGGGACATTATGGGGGCCTGGCTAGATAGGAGGCACATGGTGTTGGGCCTCACACTGCTGGTTTCCAGAGCAAGGCCGGCCTGCACAGGAGTGTGTATTTCCTGTGCATGGGCTTCTGTATGACGTCACCAGCTGGGCTCTCGCAGTGCGCTTATACTTCTTTTTTTTTTTTTTTTTTTTTTTTTAAAGAGAGAGTGAGAGAGAGAGGGGGACAGAGAGAGAGAGAGAGAATTTTAACATTTATTTTTTTTTCTTTTATTTCTTGGCAGACACAACATCTTTGTTGGTATGTGGTGCTGCTGAGGATCGAACCCGGGCCGCACGCATGCTAGGCGAGCGCGCTACCGCTTGAGCCACATCCCCAGCCCCCCGCTTATACTTCTTGGGTTGCACAGTGCCCCCCACGTGGAGCATAGCCCAACCTGAGTATGGGGCCAGAGGATGCAGTGCTTGGGATAGCGTTACAGGTCTCTGTCCTAGGGTAGGAACATGACCAGAATGAGACCACAAAATGACCTTTGAATTGTTAGGTTGGAAATTGGCATCCTCTTCCAGATGCTGAGCGTGGAGGGGGTAGGTTGGCTTGGGCACACCCAACTTGGATGTGGAAGATAACATGTTGCCTTTGCACAGTCATTGCGTGGGATGTGGGGCTGTGGCAGGATCATCTATCTCTCCTTGCAGACTGGGCTGGGCCGTCCTGGTAATGTGAGAGCTGGATAAGCCTGGGGCACTGTGTTTTCAGCCAGACCATTAAACACCCTGAAGATAGAAGTACAAGCTAAGCAGCAAGCCTTTTAGGACCTAAACCATGGGTCTGTTCTTGAAACTGGGCTTTCAAACCAGGGACAAACTTTTCTCTTCCCTCCTCCTGGCAGACTTCACTGAGGCTCCTGAATCCCTAGAGTTGGAGGCTAGAGTCCACAGGCCCTTTCCTAGTACTGTTGTCCCCTGGCTGCTGTAGAGCTTTGCCTTGGGTGCTTCTGGCCATGGCACTGTGCCCCACATTGCAGAGCTTGGGACTTGTTAGTCTGAAATGAGCAGCTTCTGTGCCTGGTGCTCAGAGGTGCAAGGTGGCTGCAGGTGAGCAGATGCTCAGGAGAATAGAGTTGAGTCCACGTGGAAATCAGGGCACCCACAGAAGCAGGCCCCATGCCGTCAGCAGTGTAAGGTGGCCAAACCTGTGTCCCAGATTTCCTTGCACCCACAGTGGGCACTTGTCTGGCTCTCCCGCCCCAGGCCCCTGCTCCATGCACGCATCTGTACCCTCTTTCTCCTTCACCTGTCTTGTAGCTCTATAGTGTTTCTCACAGCTGTGCAACTTGTTTATGGTCATGTTCATCTTCCTCAGTGCTGCTGAGTTTGAGCCCCCAGAGTGCAAGGCTGTAAGTAGTTCTGTCCTCTGAACAGTGTGGGGAACAGTTTTTGGTGCCTCAGCACCTCTCAGGTGGTTGTCACCTGTGTGCAGCATTGCTGAGCTCTTTGAGCAGGAAATAGCAGTGAGTGAAATGGTAGGAGTCTTGGTGTTCAGTTTTGATTCTTGGTCAAGAGCAACCATGAACTACTCTGGTGACTGTGGCAGGAGGAGCCAATGTTCAAAGCCAGCCTGAGCAGCTTAGGGAGACCCTGTCTCAGAATGAAAAATAAAAAGGGCTGAGGATGTAGCTCAGTGGAAGTGTGCCCCGGGTTCAATCCCTAGTACCACTAAAAAGGAAAGAAAGAAAAAAGAAGAACTTTTTACTTTCACCATCTGACCACCATTGAAGTGGAGGAGTCTGGCCAGTAGTTCCCATGGAGTTGGCCACTGAGCAGCCAACTGGACCTCCTTCTTGCTCCTCTCTCCTGCTGCTGTGGATACTGAGATCCTAACTGTTGTTTACTCACATTAAGCAGCTAACACCTGGGTCCCCTGGCAAGTCTCACACAGTGTCATTTTTGATTCCTTAAGAGGCCAGGCTGTTCCTCAGGATTTGACATGAATGCCAACCCTGTGGAGAACCTGAGAGAGAAACTTGAGCTATTGGTCTGTTTCTTGAGGATTCGGGGACAAGGCTGTAAGAATGTTCTACAGGTGCCAGGAGGGGTTGTGGGGCTGCCTACACACTGGCCATCTCAGCTCTAGATGCTAGTGTGTTCCAGAGATCTGAGGGGCTTTGTGCATTCTGACCTGGGGCGGTCTGAGCTCCTTACCCCTCCTGGAGCTGCTGATCTGGAGCCTCAGCACCTCTCAAGTGATTGTCACCTGTGTGTAGCATTGCTGAGCTCCACACTTAGCTCCATGTAGATGTCTTGGCTTAACCCCAGGGGGAGTTAGAACCAGCAGAGCAGGTTGGAGGTGATGGGAAAAGCACTTCTTGGCTACTCTCCTAAGTGGAAACAGGATGGAAGGCCCTGTCTCAGTGGGTGGTTTGGAGAACTGTCCTGAGCTTTGCTTCTGTTTGAGAACTGAGTTGTTCCATAGAGGGACACAGGAGGGCCATTGACTTTCACCTCAGCCAGGTCAGGATGGAGCCCAGGGAGCATCTTCCCCAGGTGCTGACACATCCCACCACTATAACTTTCTAGGAACCTTGACATTCCCTCTCATACTCACTTCTCCTCTTGGGACACAGCCTACACCCTGCCTGGCAAACCTGTGAGGGCCAGCACCATTTTTCATGGCAGGCCCCTTCACAGGATGGACATGCTGTGTGTGCCAGGTAGGCAGGCAGGGGGCCAGGTTAGATGCCCTAGAGGTAGAAGAGGCTTCCATTAAACCCTAGTAGGCTGAGTGGGCCACAGACACCCCTTTTCTAGTGAGAGATGCATCTGTGTGTGTTCCTAACAAGCTTTCTTACATGCACTGAAAAGATGCTTTCTGGTCCATGAAGTTTCCCCCTGCAGTTTCCTCCACCCAGCAGAGCAGTGTGCTGGGGCCATACTGGGTCTGGTGCTGTGATTTGTGCATGCACTTAGAGTGTTGCTGTGTGAACAGTCCTGGCTCCACTCTCTGCAGCCTGTGCACATCTGGTGTGGTGCGGCTTCACATCAACAGCTGGCTGGAAGTGAGCTTCTGTCTACCCCACAAGATCCACTATGCTGCCTCCAGCCTGATTCCCCCTGAGGCCATCGAGCGGAGCCTGAAAGCCATCCGGTGAGAGCCCTTCCCTGTGGTCACCACCTGAAGCTTTGCCTAAGACTTGTTCCAGAAATTCTCTTTTCTGAGCTGGGTGTAGTGGTACACACCTGTAATCCCAGGGACTGGGAGACTGAGGCAGGAGGATTGCAAGTTCAAAATCAGTCTCAACAATTTAGTGAAGCCCTAAGTAATTTAGCAAGTCCCTGTCTCAAAAAACAACAACAACAAAAAAAAACATTAAATCTATTTTCTGGGTGTGGTGTTGATGCAGGTAGTCCCAGCTACTTGGGTGATTAGTGAAACCCTATCTCAAAAATTTTAGACACAGATAGATAGATAGATAGATAGATAGATAGATAGATAGATAGATAAATGGGGCTGGGGGTGTAGCTTAATGGTAGAGTACCCCCTGAGTTTAATCCCTAGTACCGCCAAAAAAGAAAAAAATATATTTTCCTCTAAAAGTTGGCAGGTAGAATTCTGCTCTTAGTAAACCATGATTTTGTGTCCAGTTCTGTTCAGAAATGACCAACCCCTCTCCCCTGGGCCTCCCAGCCAGCCAGGGTGAGTGGGCCTTGATGGGCTGTGTGGCTGAGCATGAGGAGGAGCCAGTCCTGGGCCAGGGCAGATGTCATCTCATGGTGACGTGGATCCCACCTTCTCAGCTACATTGATTTTCTCTGAGGGGTGAGCTAGACCCAGTCTTGTGGCCCAGGCACACATGCGCCTACACCAAGTCCCCTATTTCCTTGAGTACTATCTAAATAGTAAAAGAAACCTGGGGGCTGGGGTGTGGCTCTGTGGTGGAGCACTAGCCTAGCCTATGAGAGGCTCTGAGTTTGATCCCCAAATAAAAGAAAGAGGAGGAAAGAAACCTGGTATGCTAAGGCTGTAGCTTAGTAGTAGAATGTGCCTTGTGTGCAATCCCAGCACTACCAAAAAAAAAAAAAAAAAAAAAAAGGAAGGAAAAGAAAGGAAATCTGGACGTATTCTTGAATGGTTGGAAACCAGGGAAAGCAAAGCACGCCTGGACCCTCCCCATCCCCATCGTGTCCCAAGTGACGCCTTCCCTCTAGTCCCTTGCTAAATATATTTTTAGGTAGTTCTATTCATAGTCTGTGGAGAGGATTTTGCTTTTCCCATGTTTGAGACCATTTACTTAGGAAAGATTCTTTGATTCATTCAATCAGTAAACCTGTGCTGGGCACCCCAGAGGTAGAGTATGGCCCACCTCAGTTTTGGTCTAATTTGTTTTCTCCCGAGGGCAGCAGTGAGCCTTGCAGATTTTTTATGAAGGCTCCTGGACACTGCTGCCCTTCTCTTTGGTTCTTCCCTCATCCCACTTCTCCACAGTGCAGTGAGTTCCAGGTGCCTGCCTGGGGCAGGGGCCCTGTGATTCACAGGCCCACTGGCATGACTTTGCTTCTCAGACCCTACCATGCCTTGCTGCTGCTCAGTGATGAGAAGTCCCTGCTGAGTGAGCTCCCCGTCGACTGTTCCCCAGCTCTGGTGCGGGTGATCAAGACCACGTCTGCTGTGAAGAACCTACAGCAGTTAGCCCAGGATGCTGACCTGGCTTTGCTGCAGGTAGGGCCTGGGGGACTTGGATTGCATGCAGAGCAGGCAGCCCCAGGGTGGTGGTGGGAGGCACCAGGAAAGCAGGTTGCTCACTATGCTGCCTCCCAGGCCCTCTCTTCAGCTGAGAGCTATTGCATTATATGCCCTGACCAGGCTAGTTCCTGGGGTACTTGAGGTTCTGACATCTGAGTCTAACCTAAGTTTTGGGTTGACTTCTTTGGTCTCGAATGCAGAGAAATGGAGGTGAGCTATGGGAGGCAGGAGGGAGGAACTCCTAGCACTGGGCAAAGGTCTGGAGGACAGGACGCAGGGCTGGCTTTGCAGGGGTGGTGGCACATAGTGCACTTGGCCAGTGCATGAAGTCTCCCAGAGGCACAGGAACAAGTGCGTGGGACATGAGGGCAGAAGCTTGTACACAGGCCTGCCATGTGCTGAGCCAGGGCCTGAGCTGTGGCCTTCACACTGTGTACGTTTATGCTGCCTCTTCTTTGTATGAGATGCCACCCTCTTGCTGGGCCATACACTCTAAGGGAGGGACCCTCAGCCTTGGCCAGGGTGGATATGATTGGAGTGCGGGCGGGGCACAAGAAGAAGCTGGTAGGCAAGGACCCAGCTTTTGATGGGGTGACATTGGCCAGGGCCATGGGAGAGGACTGGGAGTGCCTGGTGTTGATATGCACCACATGGCCACCAGGGGGCAGCAGATGCCAAGGCTAGGCCACTTGGGCTCTGCTTGCCCAGGTCCCTAAGCTCAGCTTGGCCTATGAAGCTCCTGCAGTGACATTTCTGCCTATTTTTTTCCCCAAAACAGCATTTCAAATTCTCCTTCATTGTGATTCTGGATGTGCTCTGTGTGCCCTGACCTTTATCTGCTTTGCTAGAGCACGCACTAGAGTCTGGCTTTGTGCTTCACTCTGGCTTCTGGACTGGACAGGACCCAGTGAGGACCGCATCCTGTTCACCCATGTGGTCTCACCATTCCCACACTTGCTGGACAGGGCCAATCTGGGGAAGACTGAGGCTTTGCATACCCAGTTTTAAGTGCCGAAAGGAGCCGGGCACTCAGTCTTCACTGTGATGAGCCTGCACCTCACCCTTTCTTGCTGCAGCAAGGCTGTGTGGAAACCCTGAGGCCAGCCCTAATGGCTCACCCTGCCAGCCTTTAAGCAGGGTGCCATGCCCCCAGGTGGCGCTAGTTCTTTGGGGAGCATCTTCCTCAGGTGTGAATGTCACAAAATGCTTTATCATCACTCATGCTCCATCTTAGTACAAATAGTGTTCAATGGTAAAAGCAGTATATTCTTACTCAGTTGGGCACAGTGGCCACACCTGTAACCCTAGAGGTGTGGGAAGCTGAGGCTGGAGGATTGCAAGTTCTAGGCCAGCAACTTAGTAAGACTCTGTCTCAAAATAAAAAATAAAAAAGGGGCTGGGGTTGTAGCTCAGAGGTAGAGCGCTTGCCTTCCACATGTGAGGCATTGGATTTGTTCCTTAGCACCCCATAAAAATAAATAAACAAAAGTATTGTATCCATCTACAACTAAAAATTTAAAAATAATAATAATAAAAATTTTTAAAAAGACTGGGAATGTTGCTCAGTGGTAAAGCACTGCTGGGTTCAACCCCCAGAGCCAATAAATAAGTAAATAAATATATTCTCTATTGAAAATTGAAATGTTAGGGGCTGGGGATGTGGCTCAAGCAGTAGCACGCTCGCCTGGCATGCGTGCTGCCCGGGTTCAATCCTCAGCACCACATACAAACAAAGATGTTGTGTCTGCCGAAAAACTAAAAAATAAATGTTAAAAAAAAATGTTACAGGTATTACAGAAACAGAAATTGGAAGGAAGTCCCTCTAATCTAATATTCCAGAACCTATAGATCTAATATAATCTAATATTCCAGAACCCATAGATCCATCTAGTTTTTTTTTAAGACAGAGAGAGAAAGAGAAAGAGAGAGAGAATTTTTTTTTATATTTGTTTTTCAGTTTTCGGTGGATATAATATCTTTATTTTATGTGGTGCTGAGGATCGAACTCAGTGCCCCGCGCATGCCAGGCGAGCATGTTACTGCTAGAGCAGTATTCCCAGCCCAACCCAAGATGAGGTCTGTATATATTGCCCAAGGTCTTGAACTCCTGGGCTCAAAGGTCCTTGTGTTTTGGCTTTCTGAGTAGCTGGGACTATACGTGCTTGCCACTGTGCCCTAAAAAAAAAGCACATAACTTTGAAATAAAGTTATGGTCACATTGTATATTATTTGTTTTTTTTTTTTTTCAGTATGGGGAGTTGAACCCTACCACTAAGCCAATCCCCAGCCCTTTTATTTATTTATTTATTTTTAAATAGTTTTTTAGTTGTAGATTGACATAATGCCTTTTTATTTATTAATTTTTATGTGGTGCTGAGGATCAAATCCAGTGCCTCAGACATGCTAGTTAAGCCCTCTACCATTGAACCACAACCTAGCCCTATTTTTAATTTTGAAACAGAGATTCACTATGTTGCCTAGTCTGGCCTCAAACTTGTGGTCCTCCTGCCTCCGCCTTCTGAGTGTATGTTCCTTATGACTGACTGAATATTGACCCTCACAGATCTACATCTGAACCCCAGCACCTGTGGGTGTGGCCTTTTGTGGGACTTCACAGATGTTAGGATGTTAAGGATCTTGAGATGGGGAGATTTTCCTGGTGGGACAGTAATGTAATCACAAGGGCCCCATTAAGCAAGAGTCAGAGTGACCATGGAGCCACCAGCTGAGGGACACTGGCAGCTGGAGGAGGCAAGAGCAGGTTCTGTCCTGGAGTCCAGAGGGAGCGTTGCTGGGGTTCTGGCCCTGAGACTTCTAGCCTCTGGCATGGTGCTCTGCTTGTAGAGATGGCCTGGAAGAAGCAGAGACCAGGCCAGCTGCTGCAGCAGAGAGAAGAGTGGAGACAGAGAAAATGGGCAGCTCTGCATTTGGGTTGAGAGAAGAGGGCAATGATGGGCCTGCTGTTTCCTCCGTGTTGATACCACTGGGGGTCCCATTTGCTGAGCTGAGTAGATATGTCCTCTGCAGCACAGCAGGCCTCTGTCCAGGTAGGGGTGGTTCAACACACTGGAGGCCCACCTGCCCCAAGGACAGAATGTATCCAGGGAGACACAGGCAGGAGCACAACTGTTGCTCTCAGACCTCTCCTCCATGAGAAGCTGGGGTGCTTGAAGTTCCTGGAAAGGACTCCTGATATCTGAGGGCCCAGAAGAACAATGTGGCAGGATGTTCTCTAGGGGAAGGTAGGGCCCACAGGAACGAATCTGGGGCCTTTGGATGTGCAGGGGTGTTAGGCTAGTAACTCCACATCTACTCCTTCTTGGGGAGCCGAGCTGGGGTACTGGTGGGTGTGCGTAGGGCTGTGCCTCTGCTGGGACACCCAGCCAAGCCCCCTGCCTCGCTGGATCCACCTGTACTACCCAACATTCCAAATGTCCCCATGCTCTTGGGCTTGAAGCCTGGGCCTGACAGTACTGTTCCTCAGCAAGAGCGCGGCAGCACAGGGTCTGGCCAGGAAGTGGCAGCAGTAGATAGTGCAAGCAACAGTGATGAAAAGGCTCTGGTCCCAGGAGACACTGTGGGACCTGCCACCTGGTGGGAGGTGCTGCCCAAGTCAGGGAGAGGACTTCAGGGGCCCTGGCCATAGGGTCTATGCTGCATGAGCTTTGGACTAGCTTCTCCAGAGCAGAAAGACCATAGTATCCTAGGCCTGGTCCTCCCAGCCATCTGTGGCCTGTAGGTGTTCCAGCTTGCGGCTCACCTGGTGTACTGGGGCAAAGCTGTCATCATCTACCCGCTGTGTGAGAACAACGTCTACGTGCTATCTCCCAATGCCAGCGTGTGTCTGTGAGTACTGCCAGTGCCCATGGCGGGGAGGGTGAGTCCCGCCAACCCTTCTGGGGATGCTCCCTGGGCTGCCAGGCTCCAGAGGCACTGGAGGCCTCGAGGCTAGGCTCCCACTCCCACCCAGTGACTGATTTCAACTGTGCCCATCCTGATTCTGGTCTGGCTGGCCCTGCCTGCATCAGGGCCACTTCCTCCTGACCAAGATCAGAGAGGGGTTTGGGGTAGCCGGTGCCTGTGGCTTCTGCTACCCCTTAAGGGCAAGTGCCAGGACTCTGTCCACCTGAAGGCTTGCCCAGCTCTGCCGTGTCACCTTACATTCATTCTGTCCTCACAGCGGCTGGCCCACCCAGCACAGATTTCCTATTGCCCACTGAGGGCCTGTACTGAGGGTGCTGCCCACAGGTCTGCTGTGCCCACCACTGGACTCGCCTATCCCCAGGTATTCCCCGCTGGCTGAGCAGTTCTCCCGCCAGTTCCCATCCTGCGACCTGCCGTCCATCCTTGCCAAGTTCTCTTTGCCTGTCTCCTTGTCCGAGTTCAGGAATCCCCTGGCACCCCCTGCGCAGGAGGTGAGTCGTGGCAGCTGCAGGAGCTGTAGACCCTCAGTGCTGCTGCCGTTCTGCCTTGTTTTGGGGGCTTGCTGTTGCAGGTGCCATGTGGCAGGTGAGCACTGGCTGTCTGGGGTGCCCACAGATGGAAGGTGTCCCCCCCTCCAAGTGAGTTGGCCTCTTGCCCACTTCCCTGGGTGTTCAGAGGGGTCCTGTGGCCACTGGGCCTGGAATCTTCTTACCCAAGGGTCCTGGGTTGGGTGTGGGGAGGCTTCCTCCTGACATGGCAGATGGTATGTGGCTTCCTATGTGGACTGTAGGGTGTCACTGTTCATAGGTGCCAGGCAGGTTTGCCCCTTCACTGGTCAGATGGGATAGGACAGGTGTCTGAGATAGGCTGGGTGTTCTCAAGGCTTTCTTTCCAAAAGCCAAGTATTTGTTTTAGTTAAATCCAGATCTACCAGGCAAAACTCGTGCTTAAAATCAAGCCCTTTCCCTTCTCAAATTGTGAATGAGAGTAAGATCCTGGTGTTTTCAGCTCATTTAGACGCTGAGCGTGACAGAGCTCTAAATACCGTCTTTCATGGAACATGGTTTCTAGGAGCCCTGCCAGCTTCTTCCAGCTGAACAAGACACTCTGCATCTGTACCCTGCCTCCTCCATCCTAGGCAAGGGCTGGCAGTGCTCCCACCCAGCAGAAGCTTCTCAGTATTGTGTGATGGGGTGGGTTTTGCAGGTCATTCCCTAGGGGCTGCCCCAGACTCTGTAGGGGCTCAGGCGGAGCCAGGTTTGGTTCCCTCAAGTCCCTGGGATGCATGCTCTAGTGCTTATGAAGCCCCTTGCTGTTCTTTCTTTTTTTTTTTTCCCCAATACTGGGGATTGCACTGGTACTCCACCAGCAGCCCTTTTAATATTTTATTTTGATACAGGGTCTTGCTAAGTTGTCCAGGCTGGCATCCAATTTGTGATCCTCCCACCTCAGCTTCTGAGGTGCTGGTATTATGGGTCTGCAGCACCATACCTGGCCCTTTATTTCTTTTTTTTCAATATTTCCTTAGTTCTAGATGGACACAATATCTTTATATATTTATTTTTATGTGGTGCTGAGATTGGAACCCAGTGCCCCACACATGCAAGGCAAATGATCCACCACTGAGCTACAACTCCAGTCCCCCTTTTTTTCTTTTTTTTTTTTTTAATTTTTATTTTCTAGTTGTAGTTGGACATAATACCTTTATTTTTATGTGGTACTGAGATTGAACCCAGGGCCTCACATGTGCTAGGTGAGCGCTCAACCGCTGAGCCACAATCCCAGCGCCCCCCCTTATTTCTTAATTTCACTTTAAGTTTATATATTTTGCAGTCCTTTTGAGTTTTGTTTTTTTAAAGGATTAGCACATACATTCCCCCCATTCCCCTCCCAACCCTAGCCCAGGTGACCCTAGTCAGCAGTTCCTTGCAGGCCTTCAAGGAAGAGACTGTCCATATATACACCTTGCTCTGGGTCTGGGACCTGCACAAGGCACATTGCTCTGTTTTAGGTCCAGCCACAGAGGGCCTGGCCTGGACCTGTTATATGGTGAGAGGGGCACTGGCTCCACCCGGAGCAGGGGACCCTTTCCTGGCTTCCTTCTGGGTCTACTTGTGTGTCCAGTGCAGACTTCAGGTGTATCCAGAAAGAGGACTTTTTGCCAACAACCTCTTTCCAAACGGTGTCTGGGTTTGCCCAGGGATGGACTGGCTCACTAGGACCAGCAGCAGCGCCCAGTTATCTGAGGCTGAGGGAGGCAAAACAGAGATGGTTCTAGCTCAGAAAAGGGAGGGTTGCATCCTAGGCCCTGCTCCTTCGCCAGACACTAGCACAGCCCAGGTGTGTGGTAGGAGCCAGTGTGGTGTGATTCAGGACCTCCCTTGGGGCAAGTAGGCATTGCAGAGCTTCCCAGCAGCTGTGGGCTCTTTTTTCTGAGATGGGGGGCTTTCCTGCCAAGGACTCAGCACCAGAGTATGCTGAGCCGTTTGGGGCCATGGCCATAGGAGGTTGGCGCTGGGATGGGGGAACTGGCCTTACCCACTGCCTGCCCACAGACCCAGCTCATCCAGATGGTGGTGTGGATGCTGCAGCACCGGCTCCTCATCCAGCTGCACACTTATGTCTGCCTGATGGCTTCCCCCAGTGAGGAAGAGCCCCGCCTGCGGGAGGAGGACGTCCCCTTCACTGCCCGGGTCGGCGGCCGCAGCCTCAGCACACCCAACGCCTTAAGCTTTGGCTCTCCAAGTAAGGTTTCCTCACCTGGGTCATCTGGAGACATGGGGCGGCAGCTAGGAAGTGTGACAGGTACCTCCACATGGCTGCACATATGTGTGTCTGCCTCCGTGTCTCCCGTGGAGACCCTTCCTGTCTTCTCTGCCCACCATGGCTATCCTGGGCCTCTCTAGCAGGAGCTTGCTGGCCAGGAGCAGCCCCAGCCTGGGATCAGAGCAGAATTTCACTTCACCAGGATAGTTGAAACCCCTGTGCCTGAGGGCCCATGAGGAGACTGTCTGTCATGGTCACTTCTAGGAAGATCCCTAAAGGTGGAAATCCATTGCCAAGTGCTGGGCCCCAGGTTAGGGGCAGGCTATGGGCTTCATGCGAGGACCTTGCCTGTACAGGTGCTCCATCTTCCAAGCTGGGTGAGGTAGTAGGATACCTAGACATGCCTAGGGATACAGGGGGTATGCCATGGACTTATTCAGGGTCCTTGGGCTGCTCCCACGTTCTAGGTCAGACCCATAAGGGGGAATGTCACACCTAGGGGATGGGTGTCAGCCAAGTTTCTGGGTAGGGCAGCTGGGGAACCAGGAGGAGCCCTATGTGTGTCCCTAGGTGGGGGCTGGCTCTGCCCTCACTGCTCCCTTGGCATCCTAGAATCCACCCTGACCTGTACTGCCCACAGCCAGCAGTGATGACATGACCCTCACCAGCCCCAGCATGGACAACTCCAGTGCAGAGCTGCTCCCCAGTGGGGATTCACCACTGAATAAGCGGATGACGGAGAGCCTGTTGGCCAGCCTGTCAGAGCACGAGCGGGCAGCCATCCTCAGTGTACCCGCTGCCCAGAACCCTGAGGATCTGCGCATGTTTGCCAGGTGGGGGCTGGTGGCTGGGTGGAGCTGTACAGAAATTGGAAGGGGCATACCTCACATGACATGTGCCAGGGTGAGATGGCATCTCAGCACTGTCACTGAGGTCTGGGGCCTATATGCCTGTCTTTGGAAGTATCCCCTGCAAGTTCTTACCTGAGTAGGACTTGGCAGGGATTTGCCCAGGATGCCTGCATCTTATAGGCCTGACAGCCTGTCCCCCAACCCTGACTGGAGGTGTGTGGTTTCCTGGGAGAAGTAAGGCTGCCAGCATTAAGTGTGAACCACACTCTAGACCCTGGAAAGGACCATCTGCAGCCTTGCTTAGGGACTCCCTGCTACAGCAGCATGGGAGAATGGAGCCTCTGGCAGCCTCTTTCTCGCTCTGGGGTACAGTCTTCAGTGGCTCTAGATGTAGACAGCTGTGCTTGTTAGGACCACTTCATGCCCACTCCTGGTCACCAGGGACTCCAGTGGGCGTTGGGTCCAGGATGTTGAGCTAACCCCTACCAGTGTTTGTCAGAGGCCTTCGGGGTGCGAGCCTTGTCTCGGCTAATGCCACCCCTCCTCCAGGCTCCTTCACTACTTCCGCGGCCATCACCACCTGGAGGAGATCATGTACAATGAGAACACTCGGCGCTCCCAGCTGCTCATGCTCTTCGACAAGTTCCGCAGTGTGCTGGTGGTGACCACCCATGAGGACCCTGTCATTGCCGTCTTCCAGGCTCTGCTCCCATGAGCCAGGCAGAGAATGGGGTGTGAGGGTGGGCACTGCATGGGTGGCCAGCCCTGGCCTTACTGAAGGCTTGCAGAGCCCTTGTCCTTATCCTTACCACAGGCACCTTGGTTCAGCAGCAGCTGTGAGGCCATCATCCTCTGTGCTCTTTTAACTCTCACTTGTCCTTGCAACAGCCTTACCATCACCAAAAGCTGAAGGGTGCCTTCTAGACTCGCATCTGGTGAGGACTATGTCCTTACACATGCACATAGGCTGTTTTGATCCTCATCCTAGCCCTGGCCATATTTGCGGTGACCTTGCCCCACTTTGTGTGCTATCCTGAGGGATATATTCCTTCCTGCCTTCTGATGGTGTCAGCATGTGTGGCCACCTCACCCAGCACCACCTCTGTTCACCATGCACTGCATCCCTCCCAGATAGCTACGATCCTCTCCTGGCCCAGCCTCACCACAGCACCACATAGGTCACCCTTGTGGTGGGTGGCAGCTCAACTTCCTGCCAGGACCCTGCCCCAGAATGTGCATGTACTGTGTGGCTCTCCTGTTGACCCTAACCCTGGAGGAAGGACTGACTTCAGGCATGTGATGATCAACCAGGGGCTCTGTAAAGACAAAACAGTTCCCTAGTAGCAAAACATTTATTTAGTTTTTAAACAATTAAAAAAAAGCCTGAGTGGGCTCTTTGCTCAGGTCTGTGTGTTCTTCTGCTCAGCTGCTTTGTCCACCACACTCACCCATGGGCTGCCCTGGAAGTAGAAGCGCAGGGGCTTTTGGGTCCACTCCCCTGCGTTGCCAATGCCCACACGGGCTGCTGCCACCACGGCTGGTCTACTGGGGCCCAGCAGACCACACTCCAGCCACATGGCCTCGTCCTGGGCCAGGTCCCGCTGGTCAAAGCTCTTGTCAATAGCCAGGGCCTGGCACAGCTTAGAGGGACCGTTACAGAGCTCACGGTCCTTGAGGGTCCGGCTAAGGGTGCCTTTCCGGAGGTTGTTGCGGAGTTGGCGCATAGTTTCCAGACCCCCAAGGGGCTCAAGTGCTCGCAGTAGGACACAAGCGCCATCCCCTGTTGGACAGATAGACAGTTTGGAAGCAGAGCCTCCCTGGCCCTTGCCTTCCTGCTCCAGTGCACCTCCAGTGTCACAGTGCTGACATGGTTGCTCACTGCCTTCTGGGTCTGCCCCTCCCTGTGTCTAGACTCCTCTGCACACCTGCATCCACAAGGGAGCTGTTCCTTCTGTAGGGACCCCTTGGCTGCCACCACAAAAGCACATGCTTTCCCTTCATCTTCTTAATAACTTTATTTTCTTATGTGGTGCTGAGAACCAAACTCGGTTCCTCACGCAGGCTAGGCAAGCCCTCTATTACTGAGCTACAACCACAGCCCCTTTCCCTTCATCTTGTATTTGGTGGCAAGTGTGAGGCCCCAGCAGCTGGTGCTCCTGGACTGGCATAACCCTGCTAGGAAGTGGGCAGTCCCAGGAAGAGCCCAGATTCCTAGCCAGGCACTATGGCTCCCCATCTGTCTGCCACTCAGCAACCTGTTGGCCAAGCCTGGAAGATGGCCTGGGCACAGGATGGTAGAACAGCCGTGGCTCATGATTCAGTAGAGGAACTGTCCTCTACCTCTCAGTAAGCATGTCGGGAGATGTCCACAAGACCTCCCTTGGAGGTCTTCTCCAGCCCAGCCCTGCCCTGCCCCGTCAGTCCAGGCTACTTCAGGGACCCACCAAGAAGGCACAGATATCCAAATTCCTCTAGACCTGAATGTCTGGGAGGGCCCCTGTTATTACTGATCTTGGACAATGATGACCTGGATCCAGGCCAGGACTGCTCTGACCCTCCAGTAAAGCTGCTCACCTATGCACCCTGGACTCCCAGTCACCTGGGAGTCAGGCTTGGCCCAAGTGTGGCCAAGCTAGTACCCACTTTTGGGCCTTGGCCAGGTGGGTCTGCTCCCAGCCTCTGCTCTGCGTCAGCACTCAGGGCCAGTCCAAGTGAATGGAACTATGCCCTGCAGCAAAGCCTGCAACCAGCAAGTGCTGGGTTCTTGTGAGCCCCATAACCAGCCAGTTTTCAAAGAGATTCAAAACAAAGCCTGTAGGTTCCAGTCTCTCTGAGTCTTATGCTACTTCCAGCTTGCTATTTGCTCACCCTCTGTGCCCACCTTCACTTTTTAATTTTTTTGGCAGCGCTAGAGATTGAACCCAGAGCTTTGTGCATGCAAGGCAAGTACTCTGAGCTATATTCCCAGCCCTACCCTGAGTCATTTTTGCAGGAAGTAGGCAGACCCCTTGCTGAGCCAGAGCCACCTATAAAGGAAAAGCAGCTCAACCTCCACTCTGGCACACCTCTTTCCTGGCTCTTGCACAGAATGCACTTGAGTCTCACATAATGACAGAAACACCTTTACTCTCTTCTTGCCCAGCCTCCACCACCTCACCCCTGCTCTGCTGCACAGTGGCTCCAGCCTTGGCAGTCTGGCTATTCTCCTCCTCCTGAACCTGGCCCCTCTGAACTTCCATGTGCTGCCTCCACCTGCACAGGTGACAACCATATCCTCAGCCACCACTCTTATCTGGATGATCCTAACCCTGTCTTCACCCATGTGGGGGTCCTGCCCCCACAACCTGCACGTTCCTGGGGCATCTTGGTCACATGTTCAGAAAGGAATAGGTCACATCCCTGCCACCATTCCACTGGCCATAGCACCAAGCACTTCTCAGCATTTCTCCTGAGGCCAGCCCTCCCCTCCTGAGCTTAGTTATTGCTAACAAGGAGCTCTGCAACCAGCTCTCAGGAGTAATCATGGTTCTCCAGGAAGGGCTCCCACCCTCCTGGATAACTAATCACTGAGAGCTTTCCTCTATGGGGCTGGTCCTGCAGTCCTTGTGTCCCCCAGTCTCCAAGGCTTTTGCACTTGACATCCTTAGCTGTAGGCTCTGGGCAACCAAAATCCCCTCGTCATTGCACTGTCCAACATACATGGCCTGCAGCATGGCATACTGTGACCCCCTACTGTTTTCCCCAAACAGTCTGGTTGTCTGGTCAGCAGTGGCTTTGACAGGATGGTACTCTGAGTTCATCAAGGGCAGAGTCTACACCAGAGCCATACTCACAAGTGAGGGCTTCTCTCAGAGCACCAAGCCAGCAACTCCACTGTGACAACTCCACTGTGACAGAGGCTCCTGTGTGGTGAGGGCTGTCCTGTGCCTTATAGGGGTTCGGCAGCACTCCTGTTTTCAACCAGTAGATGCCAGTACCATCCCCAGCTATAAAATGACCAAAAACGTCTCCAGATATTGCCTAATGTCCCCTAAGGGGCATAATTGCTCCTGGCTGAGAACAACTGATCAGACCCCACAACAGGCCACTTGATAGGCTCCTGCAATTGCTCAGCTCAGCCCAGATTGATCTCTCCTTTGCTTCCCTACAACTTGCTCTTTCCACATCTACCCCAGTGCTCTTTGCCATCAGCTTCAAGCTCTGGGATCAGTGATAACCTCATGGAATCTGTCTGCTTTGCATTCAGGTGTGTCCCATAGCCTCTATCCCACAGGGGCCCAGTCCCATTAGCCAACCATGCCTTATCAATGCAGCCAGAGCTCCTGAAACCTGGACTTGGCCCTGGCAATGGCACTACCTTCCTCAAATGCCTGCCAACCCAGTCGTCCTGGGAGTCCCCCAACTACTAGCTAAGGGGGCTGTGCCAGTCCTGCTCCTTCATTGCCAACATTACTAACCTTGGCTAGAGACATTCATGCAGAAGTACATCCCATAGATAATGTACACATACAGGGTCCCGGGTTTCATGAACATGCCGCGGTTGCGGGTAGTCTGCCGGCCACCCCTTGAGTGGGCAGCTTCATCCTCTGGTCCCAAGTATGCCTCAGTCTCCACAATGCGGCCACGGAGCTCTGTGCCATCAGCAAGTCGCCGGACAAGGACCTGTGTGTGGGTAGTCTGCTCAGGGCCAGAAGGGATAGGGATACACCCACCCTGACAGTCTCCAGCCTGTGCAACCTCTCACTAGCTCAGAATGTGCCAGACTCAGCCAGGCCCTCTCACCTGGCACCTGCACCATGTCTCCTAATTAGATCCCAAAAGCCACCATTGAGGGGCTGGGGATGTGGCTCAAGCGGTAGCACGCTTGCCTGGCATGCGTGCGGCCCGGGTTCGATCCTCAGCACCACATACCAACAAAGATGTTGTGTCCACCAAATGAATAAATAATTAAATATTTAAAAAACAAAAACAAAACAAAAAAAATTCTCTCTTAAAAAAAAAAAAAAGCCACCATTGAGGCCACAAGCCCTATTAGATGACCACCATGTAGGCTGATCTTCAAGTCCTCCCTACTTCCTCTCCCATTTCCCTTCAGAGGACTATATCAGCATGAGGCTGGCCAGTGTGGAAGGCACAGGTTCCCAAGGGGATCCATACATGGCCTCCTGGGGGTATTCCAGAGCCTGTGGAGTGACCTTCCAAAGCAATCACAAAAGACCCTCACACTCAGCTCCCACCAACCGGCTCTAAAGCTTTTCTGAATAGCAGGACCAGCTGCCTGCAGTTCCCTAGCCTGGACCACTGTCTTGGGAATGGCCAACAGTTCTGCCCCTGTGCTTGAAGACCCAGACCTAGGCCAGACTCAATCAGGGTTCACAGCAGAACTGCAGGGACTAGCCACATCTACAGCAACTGCCTCATCCTTAGGTCAAAGGGACCAGTTGGAAGGCCAGCCACCTTGAACTCAGGTTAGGGTCAACTGTGGTGCCTGAGGGTCAGTATCACAGGACAGGATGGATTGATGACTGTCCTGGAACCTAGAAATGCCCACAGGCATCCAAAGCACTGGGGACAGGAGTGAGTACCTTGGGTTTGGCCTGATCATCTCCAGAGGAGAGCTTTCCAGGACTCTTGAGGAGGCCTGCCCCCATGCCTCCTGGCACCCTGGGGCCCAGCTACCCTTCTGCAGGGAGCACACCTTAGTTCTCTGGTACATGTTCCTGGGGGAGGCAGCACCCTTCTCAGCTCAGAGGGTGACTTATTTCATTAGCTTTTATTTCAGTGCTGGAGACTGAGCCAGGGCCTTGAGCACTCTTAAGCACTCTACCCGTGAGCTACATCTCTAGCCCTGAAATGAACCTTTTGATAAAAGTATGACCCTGCTGAGGGGTCTGCAAGGGCACCCACTGGGAGGTTATCGAAAAGGCTGTCCTCCCCGACCAAAGGGACAGAGGGTGAGCACCCTCTTCTCTGCTAGACATCTTCCTGTCCACCAACAGACTCCAGTAGGTATGATATAGGCCTAAAAGGAAACGACATGCCAAGGACACTGGCTAGAGGTGGATGCACTCTGATGCTAGACCATCAATGCTGGGGTGCACCTGCCCCACATAGTTTGTCATGTCATAAATGTTCAATATCTAAGTTACTTTCAGAAAGATCCTCCGGCCCTTGCAGCTGAAAGCATCTTCATGGGAACAGAATCTCATCCCTTCTCCACTAAGCTAGTTTTTTTTTAGCACCCGGGTTTTGTTTGTTTTTTGGTACCATGGATTGAACCCTGGGGTACTTAACCACTAAGCCACATCCCCAGCCCTTTATTTTTTGAGACAGGATCTTGCTAAGTTACTTAGGGCCTTGGTAAGTTGCTGAGGCTGGCCTCAATCTTGTGATCCTCCTGCCTCAGCACAAGGATGGTCCATGAGTCTGGAATCACAGATGTGCACCACCACACCTGAGTTAGTACCAGACTCTTGGTACATATTCCTGGGGAAGGCAGCACTCTTCTCAGCTCAGAGGGTGACTTATTTCATTAGCTTTTGTTTCAGTGCTGGAGACTGAGCCAGGGCCTTTCTTTTCTTTTTTTTACAAGAATTTTTTTTAATCTTTATTTATTGTATTTATTTTTATGTGGTGCTGAGGATCAAACCCAGTGCCTCACATGTGTGAGGCAAGAACTCTACTGTTGAGCTAACCCCAGCCCCAACACACTGGTTTTTCTATTAGTCACAGAAACTGGCTCTCTTGGCCATTTCAACCTAAAAGTAGGCTTGTTAAAGGACAAAGGGTAGGCCAAGGAATCTCTGGGACAGCCAGAAAGCCAGTTCTGGGACTTTGATACCCAGGAACAATACCCAGATGGTACTCAAGACAGACCTAGCCAAGACTCCATGGCTGTGCATGTGTGGTGACAGGGTACATGGCAGGCCACCCCAGGATGGTCCCTGCTCCACTTCAATATGTCCACCAGAGCCCAGATCCTGAATCTACATTGAGCCATAGGGGCCACTGGGCTGCCAGAGCTGCCACTGTGAGCCATGTGGTAGGAAGGTAGCTGTCCCAAGGTAATTTTGATGCTGGCAATCTGACAGTGGCTGCACAGTTCCCGTGTGTCTAAAACTATCAGAAATGTCATCCTGACGAGTGCTGATTGTCAGGAGACAAGGCAGGCAAAGGTGGCCAGCCCCTCAAAGATATAGGGCCAACAGTGTTATAGTACCTCCAAGTGACCTACCCTGAAGAGGTCCCAAGTAGACAGGGACTAAGCGTCCATGTCCCAGGTGGGAAAGCTGGCAGTGAACTGCTACTCTCCTTGCAAGTAAAGGAAGGAGGTGACAGCCCTCCTTCTCCCAGTGACCCCAGACAACTAAGATAAGGCTCTTCAGGGATCAGGATGGGAAAGCAGGGCCAGGTCAGGCTGAGAACAGTGGTGAGGGCCTCATGATGGCAACCTCAGCAGAGACAATATCACTGTTGATATTACCTGTCCCAGAAAGGCGCGGGCCAGGGGGATGGCTGGCTGGTCAAAAAACTCTGTTCCTAGCCGGGCAGGGTGGCCCTTTGGGCTGGAGAAATAGATGCTGCGCTGGGGACCCAGGGAAGAGGCTGGTCTCAAGTGGGGCTCCTTTGGGGAAGGCGACTGGGCTGTTTCCAGTGGGTTCTGCTGCAACTCTTTCTCTGCCATTCGCTTTTTTTGCCCCATCCTTCGGGAAAGCTGCAATGGGAAAACAAAAGTATCTGAGTAGGAGGCAACAGAAAACTATGTGGTGAAACAGGCCCTGGGAGTTCAAGGGCTCTGTCTGCCTCAGTTTTTTCATCTGCAAACTGTGGTACCGACCTTATGGGTTGCTCTGAGGCACAAACAATGCCAAGGCTGACATATTCAACCTCAAGTGATGACAGGCTGCTGGGTGGTAGGTGGACACTGCCCTTTGGGCCCTTCACACATGAGAGATGCACAGCCTTGTGACAAGGGCTGCAGGCCTGGGAGGGGATGTCTGAGGCTGCAGAGAAGGAGCTAGGACCCTCATGATCCCATTTATCATGTTGACCCCAGGGAACCTTCTGAGTTTGCTTCTGGAACCCTGCTCTTTGTACCCAACCCTAGCCAGGAATTTACAGTGTATATATGCATGTGCAGGAATTTATGCATGCAATCTCAGCTATTAGGGAGGTATGGCAGGAAGACTCCAAATTGTGGGTCAGCCTGTGCAACTGAGACTTTGTCTCAAAATAAAAAGGACTGGGGATGTAGCTCATTGGGTAGAGCACCCTCGGTACCAAAAAAAAAACCCAAAAAACCAGCCCAGACTCAGACAGAGCTTCTTTCCTCACGGGCTGCTGATGGAGGTAAGACTCCTACTGTCCCAGACTTGTCTGGCCCAGGAGGCCCGTAACACACAGCTGGGTGAAAATGGGGCTGATAATCTGCCCAACCCCACCTCAAATGCTCAGCACGTGACCCCAGCCAGTCCCTAACTGCACTCTGCATTACTGCCCAGGGTGTCAAAATAAGGAGCAAGTGGGGCGAGAGGTCCCTTCCGCCATCACATGGCCGGGAAACCTGAAGACGCATCCTCAGCGGGTCTGGGGCCTCGGGAAGCTGGAGAGGAAGACAGCAAATGAGCGCGGGGCCTGGACGCGCCTTCCTGGGCCGCTGGTCTCCGGCAGTACCCTTGGCGCCCTGCCCCTCCAGACATCCATTATTTTTAACATCAGTGCTGACGTCCACGTCGGGCTGAGGCCACCAGTCAGCCGTGAATGGACGCTGACGTGACCGTCTCTGCAGCCCGGCCCACTGTGCCAGCTCGCCGTGGGCTCAGCTTCCGCTTCGCTGCGGTCTTGCTCTCACCCGCTTTGGCCCGTGGCCGGCCCCGCGGCATCTGGTCACTTGGGAGCTCATGGGCGGCGGGCTCGTTCGGGAAATGGAGGCTTCATCAGGGCCCGCGGGCGCGGCCGCACTCTCAGGAGTTCCCATGGGGTTCGGCCTCGCCGCCGCCGGGAGTCTACATCCCTGGGACCCGCAGCGCGCCCGCCTCCCGCCGCCCGGAAGCGCCAGCAGCTGGGCGGGGCCGCGCATGCGCAGTATGCACCCGGTGGGGGCGGCCGCGCCTGCGGAGGAGCAGAGTCCGGCCCAGTGAAGACTTCACTTCCCGCAGTCCCCGGAGGCGGCTGGGACCTCCCTGCATCTCTGCTGCCCCTGGTCGCCGACCTCCAAAGAGCCCGCCCCTACCAATAGTCATTACGCCGGGCAGCTGGCCTGGGCCCTTGAGGACCGGGTCGGAGCCCCTGCTTTGGGGCTAGGTCTGCACTATGGAGAGCGCGCCGGGAGGCGGCGGCCCAGTTCTCGACCCGGACTTGCCTACCCCTACTTCTGGGCATTTGAGTGTAGTGGGCAGGAAATGGACGCCTGGGCCGGGGCCGTTACAGCCGGTCAGAGGAAGAAAAGGGGGAGCAGCGGGATCTTTGTCTCTGTAGCGGAGCTCTCACCCCTCCGAGCCCCCAGGCATGTGGACAGTAGCTCGCCCACGTCCTGGGCGGGCCGGTTGGAGAGTGGCCAGCCTCCTCAAGGGGTTGAGGCCAGGGCCACGGCTGTGGAGACCCGTGAACATCCGCCCTTCTGGGCGGCAGCTGCCCTATACACTTTTCCCCTCCGCATAACCCAGCGCCTGCTCCCCACCCTGCCTCTGGGAAGGGCAGTGCTGGACCCAGAGAGGGAACCCTCAGGGGCAGCTCCTACACCAGCATAGCCACCACTGCTCACTCTGCCCCTGTAGGGATCCTCTGGGTCTGCTGGGCCCTTATGCAGACAATATCACCACCAACACCACCCCGCCCCGACAACCCACCTCTGTCCTGTAAAAATCCTTGAGGGGCCTGTTCTGAGCTCTGATTTCTGTGACTGTGACCTTGGTAACATAGGGGCCTCAGAGCAATTGTGTGCAGTGTGAAAGGTACTGGATAGGACAAAGGGATAGACCATGTCTCTTGTGACCCTCAGGTGAACAAGGCACTTGATATCCAGCTGCTTCTCTGTTGACCAGCTCAGGGGCTGAACTCTGACCCAGGCTGAGGCTCAGCCATCCCATCCCACCCCCAAGGGCCCCAACCGGGACTTCCTGTGGAAGGAGGGGCAACCTCAGCTTGCTGCCTGCTGGAAGCCACCCAGCTGTTTGTGGCACTGCTAGCTGCTTCCGGGGGTGGGGGTGGGGGCAATGTGTTATAAATCCCTGCTATTGAGGCAAGCCTGGATGTGACTCCCACCCCCTTTCCTCCTTATCCCCTGCAGCCATTCTGCCCAAAGACTCCTCCTTCCTGTGAGAACAACCCCCACAGCCCTTTCCCTTTCAATGTATGAGGGAAACTGAGGCCCCAGCTAGACCCCTCTCTCCCTGATGAAAGCATGGGGATGTGGGTGTTGTAGAAATCATGGGCATTCTGAAGGATTTTCCTTTCATCCTTTCATCCGGGATGAAAGAGAGGCTCATTCCATTTGGTGGGTAGCCTGGACTCTGCCCCAGAAGGAGGTGGGGCCTGCACCAGCATCCCACTTCTCCAGATGTTCTGGCCTGAGTGTGTGTGTGTGTGGGGGGGGGTATGCAGTCTCTCCCTCCCTGCCCCCTACTTCCTGGTTGTGGTGTAAGGCTCCCTCAGAAGGCTGGAAGTGGTGGGCTGGGCTTTCCCACTGTGGTTTGCAGGGCTGGCTGGCAAACTGGCCAGGAGGGAGAGGAGGTGGAACCAAGAGAGAGAAAGGAGCTTGGGGCCTCCTGTCCCCACTGTGCCCTGCTGCTTTGTTGGGGAAGGCAAGGATATCAGTGAGGATGCATGGGTGTTGATGCTCTGAAAAGGTTAAGGCTGGGGTCAGTGTTGGCATGAGCTGCTCTGCCCCCTTGCCCCTCCCCCTAAAGATTGTGGAAGGGTTGGAGCTGCCTCCAGCTGTGGGGGATGTGGCTGTCAGTTCCTGTTGGCACTAAAGGCTGTAGAGAAGAAGGTTCCAGCCTGACAGTCCCAGGAGCCCAGGACACTGGCTTAGTCTTCTGTAACTGAGACTAGCCAGTGAGTTCCTTTTCAGCACAGTGGCTGCCACCTTGACTGCCTTAAGTGGCCTTATGTCTTGTGGGCTTGGGGATGGGGGCAGTTCCTTGGGTACAGAGGGCAGCCACTGGGCAGGTCAAATGGGGTTTGTGTGGGCTGCATCCTCCCTTCCTAGGAAGGGAGTACTGCCAATGATGCAAAGCCCTGAGCCCTGAGCTTATAGGACCCTCTTGCCAAGCCCAGGGTCAAGGGGAAGGGGCAGCTGCCTCATAAATAGCTTATGACTTCAGGCCTCCTGCTAGCCTGGCCCACTTCCGCCGCCTCCTCAAATAGCCAGGCCCTGGTCCTAAGCCCATTCCTGCATCTCTGCTTTCCAGGGAGGGGCAGTTTCTTTTGATCTATTCAAGGGCCCTCCAAAGCCCAAGGGCTGGCCCCCTGGGGCGATTACTTGTGGCCTGGAGGCTGAACTGAGGATTCCTGTGTGGCTGCCAGGATTTTCTTACTGGTCAGTGTCCCCACCCCCTCATGTCCTGGAGTGAGCTCCATAAGACCTGGGTGGACAACAAGGCTGGTCCATCACCAGAAGGCTATCCCACAGCCTTGGGTATGTTAGGCAATTGCAGCTGATTTCCATTTCTCCAGGGTGGATCAAGGGGAAAGAGAGGGGCCAAGGACTGGGATTCCATTTAAGGAGCCTCTCCACCAGAGTATAGGTCAGTAGAGCAGACATGAGGCAGAGCACATGTGTGTTCAGACACATGTCTAGGTGGCTTGAACACATACGTGTCCACCTTACTTTGCTCATGCTGTCCTTCAGGTGCCCTCACTCAGGATGCCAAGGTTGGTCAGTCAGCCAGGGGATTCCTGGACATGGATGCTGAAATAGGGATATGCCTGCAGGGCTGCTCCTGATATGGAGTGGGTAGAGAACAGGTTTGCAAGAGCGGCTGCTGCAGCTGGGGTTGGGAAGATGAGGGGTGTTGGTATACACCTGTAATCCCAGTGGCTCTGGAAGCTGAAGGAGGACCATAAGTTCAAGACCAGGCTAGGCAACTTAGTGAGAGACCACCCTGTCTCAAAATAAAAAGTGCTGAGGATGTAGCTCAATGGTAAAGATCCACTGGAGCTTGGGAACAGAGACATCTCCTGGGAGTGAACACAGAGGAAAGCTCCTTACCTGTGCTGGATGTACATTGCCTTTTGGTGCTCTCTTCCATTAAAGTGACTCTGGCTAGGGATGTGTCTCAGTTGTGACTGGTGCTCCAAGATGGGTCTCCAAGATGGGTCTGGATGGTGCCTACAGTGCCCACTACAGGAGGGGACCCACAGACACCAGATGCTCAGCTGTGGCATGTGTTGGAGGCAAGCCCAGTCCCTGGCTTTCCAGAGAGATATCATTGCTGGCCTAGCCAGCCCAGTCTGGGCATCCAGGCTTTGCAGGACCTGCTTATCCCTGGCAGGGGTCAAGAATGCTAGGAATGGAGACTGTCCTGTCTCTGAGCCTGGCATAGGAGGAAGAGTGGCACGAGCAAGCACTGCTTATCCGTGATGCACCAGCAGTCTCTCCCCAGTGAAGGAGTTTCCTCCATCTCCCACCCCCCCAAATTTCCACTGTCTCCCTCGGTGCAAGAATTGTTTGACACCACCTGTGTTTGTAGAGGGCTCACTAAGTGGATACCACTATGCCCTTTGATGAATGGGAATACAGACAGGATTCTGCCCCTGGTTCTGACTCTGGGGTTCACCAGTAAGTGCACCAGCACCTTTAGTCCAAGTGGTCAAGTGTGAGTGTGTGTGTATGTGTGTGTTTTCGTGCTGGGGATAGAACCCAGGGCCTTGTGCATGCAAGGCAAGCACTCTACCAAAGGAGCTATATCCCCAGCCCTCAAGTGGTCAACTTTACTCTGGAAGCTGAAGGAGGATCACAAGTTCAAGACCAATCCATGCAGTTGGGCACTGGATGCAGCTTGCTGACTTTTGGTGGCAGCAACTCAGTTCCCAGAGGCCTGATACCACCTGGTCCCCAAGGTTGTGGCTGGGGGAGCAATAGCCTTGTGACCATCACAGGGTCTGAAGACACATTTGTGGGTCTAGTAATTTGTGGGAAGAAGGGAGACCTCCAAACCACTACCCATGGGAAGCTTGGACCAAACCCCTGGAACACGCTTCCCATTCTTGCTGTTGGCACAAGCTGTCTGCAGTGCCAGGAGAGAGCTTGCTGGGAAACCCCCACCAGCAGCCTCCAAGGAAAGTAGATAGGCCATTTTGTGTCTCACAGTGCAGGCATGATCTCAGTGGTGATGTTTGCAGCCAGGCTCAGCACCTGCTGGGGTAACAGGATTTGGATCCCAGGGCCAAGGGAAGGTTTAACTACTCTGACCTGGATGTGTGATGGACTGCATGTGCATCAGTGTGTTAACATGTTAACATGAGCATGTACAAGTACAAATGTGTGAGTGGTATAAGTATGTACTCATGCAAGTGTGTGTCCGAGTTCGTGTATGCCCCTGAGTCTGTGTGCGTAAACAGTGTGTGTGAACATGTGTGTCTGTAAGCAAATGAATGCAAGGAGCACTCTTGTATGACTTGCAGTGATCAGAGGAAGCCTGCCTGTCTTCCTCCCATACTGGAGATTTAACCCAGGGGCACTCTACCCCTGAGCTACATTCCCAACCCTCTTTTTTTTTTTTTTTTTTTTAAA